GTCTGTCCCCACCCGCCTGCGGCCGCCCACCACTTGGACTCCAAGAACGGCTGGACGCTTCGCCAGGAGATTAAAATCACCAGCAAATTTCGGGGCAAATATCTCTCCATCATGCCCCTGGGTGAGCTCAGCGGCTCCGCGCGTGGGGAGGCCCCCGAGGGAGGGAGGACGTCCTGGAGCCCTAAGTGGGAGCAGAGCAGGGCCAGGGCTGTTGCTGGTGCAGCCGAATCTGAGCGCTGTGCTCAGGGGGACGGCCAGGAGGTGCGGGAGGGGATAACAGTCAAGGAAGCGGTCGGGGAGCTGCTCGCGTTCCTTGTCCTGCACCCTGGTGTCCTCCCTTCGCTGGGACCGTTCCTAGCACAGCCCTCCTCCCCGCAGGTACCATCCACTGCGTCTTCCACTCCTCCGGCAATCACTACACGTGGAAAAAAGTCACCACCACCGTGCACAACATCATCGTGGGCAAGCTCTGGATAGACCAGGTGGGACAGTTGCAGGGAGACGGGGCTCTGCAGTGCCCGACTCCGCGTGTCCCGCGGTGTCCCCCGGTGCCGGGGCGGACAGGGGCCGTGGGCCGGCGCTGACCTCGTCTTTCCCCCCCCTGCAGTCCGGTGAAATCGAGATCGTCAATCACAAGACGGGCGACAAGTGCGTCCTCAAGTTCGTTCCTTACAGCTACTTCTCTCGGGACGTGGCGAGGAAGGTAGGGGCTGCCGTGGGGCGGGGAGGGGCCCTGGCGTGACAGAGCTTCGTGTGCCTGGTGAGGACGGGCACGGCACAGAAGGGACACCCCCGGCCGCGGCCCTGCTGATGGCTGCAGATCAAGGGCAAACTCGGGGCCCCTGGAGGCTGCGATGCAGGCTCTGCCCTTAGGCCCAGCTCTACGTTTTCCTCCATCGGTTGCATTTCAACCCATGCAAACACAGCAGCTCTGTGGGCCTTTCCCTGCCTGAATCATTCGGGTTTGGTTCCAGGGTGGGCAAGGAAGGGGAGGAGGTTCGGGCTTCCCTGGCTCTTCATTCCTCCCCGGGCAACGTCCCCACGTGCCCTGTCGTGGCAGGTCACCGGCGAGGTGACAGACCCCGCCGGGAAGGTACACTTCTTCCTGCTGGGCACCTGGGATGAGAAGATGGACTGCTACAAGGTGACGCCGGGCACGGGGGACAACAGCGCCGAGGGGCGGCAGAGGGCCCACGAGGCCGAGGACAGCCGGGTGCTGCTGTGGAAGAGGAACCCGCTGCCGTGAGTAGGGC